TCATAATTCCAGAACAGTTTTGTTCTTCCTCACATCCCTGGGGTCTCCTACACAAATGGCGTGGGGCAGGAGAGAAGGGCATGGGGCAGATTCAGTATCACAGCAGCTCTGCCTCTGAGGTGGGGTATATTCCCACCTTATTACCTTGCCTGAGAGGCGAGGAGGGTCCTCTTGGTGCGAGGTCGGGAGGCAGCAGGTGTGCATGGGCTGAAGACAATTTGGTGAGGACAAGAGCACAGTGCCTGCAGGAACAGGACTGCAAGGTACTACATCCCATCCAGGGCAAGTGGGAAACATAGATGGGTGGAGGTGGGTCTGAAACAGGGCTTGGGGCAAAACTACAGGCTGTCCTGCTGGGAAGCAGCATTACACAGGTGGATTTTAAATCATTGCTATGTAGATTGCCTTACAGACATCCATGCTGGAGCAACAGGGGACATGTGGGACCTCCATACTTTGTAAGAAAAGAAATTCGTTTGAAAAGGAACCCATTTTCTTTACACATTAATGACCAATATGCAAGATTAACAGAAGTATTCCATACCAGAATATAACGTTAAGAGACTCTACCATGAAAGAAGTATACTTCAGAAAGTACCCCTTTGTTCTACCTTTTTTTTTTTGTTACATCTGCTAGAAATAATGACTACAGAATCCCTTTCAACAAAAGGTCATTTATGTCAATGGACAGAACACAGAGGATCAGATCACCTGCGGTAATTGCAAATTAATGCTCTACTGCTAATGCATTAACTACACAATATTGATCTACAATTGAATCATACAGGCTACTGCAAAGTGATTTTTGCTTTAATATTTTTAGGGTTTTATTGCTTTTTCCATAATGAATTTTCTCTTTCCACTGGAATTTTCTATAATTGTCTCCATTTTTAATTTTCTACAGCAAGATGACTTTGAAAAATACATCTCTTTCAGACCCTTGCAAAAATCTAACTGCAAATGTGACATGGTAAATCACACACATGATGCAAAAGATGCAAAAAAAATCCAATATTAATTTTATTTTGAGAAATTGTGGCTTTAAAAAAAGTTTAGTTAAATAATAAAAAAAATACTTCAGCCTCACTGAGGTTATTCATACAGTAATCAACTGTACCTCAAAAAGATCCAGCTACACATTTCTGGAGATTTTGATATGGAAAGAGTGAAGGATTATCTCCATAAATAAGGTTGTTATATTTTTTTTTAATTTCATGCCTGTACTGAAAAGGGATTGGTGGATTTGGGCATGTTACAAAAAGGTATAGTGCTATGGAATTAGCTGAAGAATGATTGAAATGTTTCAGCTTTTTTAATGAAAAATTAAAGAACAAGTGGGGTCTTTTTGCAACTGTTTCTGAAGTCCATAAAATGAAAGAATGCTTTGTTAAATTGCTGTATAAAATTTTAATCCCAACTGCTACTCACTTAAAATGATCTAGTTTGTTTCCTATATCTGCTGCAAAATGCTCTTACATACGAACTTTTGCCAGTTATCACACTACGATGTTGCCCTCCATCTTCTAAAGGAGGGGAATAGAACACACTTTGAATAATGAAACTCTCCCCAAACCATTTTCTAACATACCTGCTTAATACCACTTGAGGTGCTTATTGCATATATCAAAATATGGCTTACCACCCAACTCCTGACTTGCGCTCCTTTGTATAATGGTTTAATAAACGGAAAATAAATCCCCACATTTAAAAAATAAAAGCAATTGGAAAAAATAATGGAGAACTGATTGTAGGTGAAATAGCTGCAGAGGAAAACCTGATCTTGCTTTTAATGGCGGTACATTTATTATTCATAAACCTCTTCTCCAAGAGATATGCCACACTGCAATTAAATCAACTCACACAAAGCCTTCATATTATCTTAGGCCATGAACGTCACCTTCTCACAGATGGCAGAGAAGACACAAGACTCTTGTGTAGGCAAAACAAAGGGAAGCCCAAATGACCAAGGAAGTGCTGCTCTCCCAGACTCTCTAGCTGAGCTCCATGGATGGATCAATACAACTTGCGCTGCTCTAGTGGTATTACCCTCTTTTTAATGCTGGTTGCACTGCCATTCCCCACCCTTTTAAATAGTGCTAATGAGGAAACACCCACAAGGTATTCTGTGTAACAGGGTGGTGATAGCAGTGGTAGTACCCACTCCTAAGTTTTGAGAACATTGTTCATTTAGTACAGCTGAGCACAGAGCTCATTCCAGCACCATCAAAGCCCAAGCTGCTTGCTCTCTGCCCCTGGATCAGTGATAAGGTGTCCTCATGGTTTTGCAAATGTCAAGTAAGATCACAAAATATGCAGTATTGTGTTAGTCCAAGTGTCTATTTAGCACCATCTCCAACACTGTCCAAAGCAGATACTTAAGATAAGGCTATGGGACACATATCTAATTCCCCCAGTACAGTCCTAGCTTCTACCTGCTTAACTCGGTGACTTGCTATGCAGTGAATCTTAATATACTGAATCATTCAGCAGATCACTTTATTTGATGCTATCTCCAAATTCTGTACCTGCTCTGTATTTTGGTACTAAGAAACCAGAAGTGAACTGTCAAAGCTGTTACAATAAGCAACAAAGGTTTTGACTGCTGAAGAAGGAACATCTTGGGCATTTGATATCAAGGATATGTGAGAGAGAGATTGGGATTCAGAGAAAAGTATGTTAGTTGGCTATTCATATGACCTTGTTAAGAAGGAAAAAAATGACAGTGATTCTCATAATCCTAATTAGGTTCCAAAGATGAACTATGAAGACGAGGCTGTCACGTTCTGTCTATCATAACCTATCTTGCCTGAGCAGCAAATAAAAGTTTCAATCTAGTCTTGGTCAAGTGCATTTCTTTTAAGACTGTTTCTAGAGATTACTTGTTTCCTTCTCCTTTCCATTTGCCTTTCCCAAGAGGAGGGAAAGACTTATGGCCTGTACTCACAATCTTAGGCTTATTTTTAAATAAATGTAATTGAACTAGTTCAGACCCCTACCTACACAGCAGCTTTAGAATCCGTTTATCTCAGATTAGTTTAAATGATTTCCTTACATTAGTGAAACAGAAATAAGCTGCTCAAATTGAGGATAGGTTTGTTCCAGAGGAGTTTAAAATCAGTTCTAGAGATGATTTAAGTTAAACTGGTGAAACCTTAGGAGAAGAAAAGAGTTTTTTCACCATCTCTGGGAAAAATCTGTTGAAAAGTGAAATTGTTCTGTAAAGGGCAAAAGACTAGTATAGATCCAAGACATTTCTAGAAACCATTTCCAGAGAACTTGATTATTACTAAAAAGAAAACAATAATTCATGTTTTCTAAATCCAGTATTCTTTCTCTTGAGCACTAACTGGGATGTCTGCATTAAATTATGTTTCAGAATTTTCCATTACCATTGGGGCAACCCAACATAAAGAAATAGTAAAAAACAACCAGCTACACCGTCTATATAATGGAAAAGTGCATAAATGACATTAAAAAAATCATTTTTAGTCATCTAGAAAGTGATACAGCAGACGTAGAACAGAAAATCATTCCACCCTGTATAGCTGAGATCACGTAGCATTGTTACAGACAAAGCCATCAAAACTGCAGCTCTATTAGCAATAACAAATGAAATGCATCTATAGCACTGAAAACATTCCCTTGCCAACCCCACTTTCTTGTAGACAAATGTTGCTCTGTAATTTGTACCGTTACTATTTATATGGAAGACGCTCTCAGATCATTGTGGAAGAAAGGTAGATCTTTTATCTGTCCATGGGAAAAGAAGAGTTTGAGGCATTCTAATATAAAGTTAAAAAAAAAAAAAAGGAAATGGTATTAATAAATCCAAAGAACATAGTGAGTCTATAAAAAAGCAGTACCCTTCTACTTCAGCTCCCAGAGATGCTAATTTTGATGTGCATTAAAAAACCCAAGCAAATCAAACCCTTGAGTCAGCCTTTTTTTTTTTTTTTTTTTTTTTTCTGAAACATAGCAAACAAATGACTAATCTCAGCAGTCATCATAGCTGTGCAGAAAGGATGGTCACACTGAATCTAATTTTAATGTCAAAGTGAATTGTGGGAATGAAACCACTCCAGTCATCCCATGGAGTGACACAAAGCCGATATCCACAGGATCCACAGCTGCTGTTGTCTATGATGGGAACTATAGATAAAGGGGATGAGTATCTACCAGAATGTAACAATATATAATGGAATAATAGAACATAACCACCACCTGCTCCTTATCAGCCATTCTAACATATATGCTGCAAAGGTGCCTTGAAATGCCTAGTGGAGCAAGTAAGAGGCTCATTTCCAGCTAATTTCCTGGTGCCAATAATAACAGGCCACCAAGGCTTCCTTCCATGATAAAGACTAACTAACCATGCCAGTCTGGCCAGGACCTCAAAATAACCCATCAGGCAATGTAAACAGCCTCAAATACTGCATGCAGTTTGAAACCTCACCCCAACTCAGTGGGCTGCAATGCCAGCACCACACACAGGACGTACAGCTCTGCACCTCCTATTCCAATAATCATGTTTAAGGGACAGAGATGCCTGGATGAACAAGAGTTACTTTAAACTGGCTCCCACTGGGACCAAAGTAGTGCTCTTTGAAATCCCTCTCTCCTTGAAAAGGCTCTTTGCAGAAGACAAAACCCAAGAACAAAGGAAGATCAGATGGCTCAAGCCTAATTCTGTGTCAACCTTGTTTGCAGGACAAGGGAGAGATGTTTAAAGTTTAAATTCTCTAGGTCAGAGAAAGAAAGTGATAACACACTCATGGCTAGCTTTTTCCTAGATTGGTATTGTGACACCCAAAGTCTTCTTTTAGCAACTCCTCCTCCTCCATCTGAAATGAATGTCTCTTAGCAAGAAGCATGAAGTTACAACCAGGAAAATTCTTTTCAATGGTATAAACCCCCCACTATCCTAATGTTTGAAACGAAGATACATTATGCTTTTAATTCCAGTTATTTAAATTTTTATGTTTTAAAGAAAGAGAAGGTACCTGCAAAACAGAAGCCCCACTGTGCAGAAACTGGAGCCCACTTTCAGCAGAATCGATGCCTCCAGTAGCTAAGATGGGAAATCCTGGGAGAGCACGGGCTATGGCAGACACTGCACGGAGGGCGATGGGCCTAATAGCATTTCCTACAGAAAACCAGAACATTTTGTTAGCAACATCAGAATATACCCTGATGTAATTCGCACATCCCTCAGGCTAGGAACATCAGGAACCAATATCTACTTCTGAGATGCAGAGTCATTATGGTCACCAAGTGGGTTTCAAGTGGTATCAATACTTATAAAATATTATTAATTTGGCTGAAATAAAGAAAATCACAGAAACATTTGAATAAACATTGAAAAGATGGCCTGAACATTTTAGTTGACGCTCAAAACAAAGACTAACAATGTCTGAGACAGAAAGCAATACTTCACCATACAGTACACTGTAGACAGAGAGATTTACATTTCTATGTAAAGAATCAGGTTGACTTTTTGAACATAGGTGTGGTCCAAGTAAGAGAGAACATCTCATTTACTTATTCCTGACTATAAATTGTTTTAAAGCACCATTTCACTGCACTTGACATATCATATATTATTTAATCTGTTTCCCCTTTGGAAATATGTCAATTCAGATAATCCTTTAAGTGAGCCCCCTTTAACTATTAACAAAATAGTCAGAAGCTCAAAAGAATAAAGTATATTCATTTATGGTTGTACCTCGAAGACTGGAGCTTGCATTTCAGATGGTATATAGAGGTTGAGTCAGACAACTGCCTGCTACATTCAGAGGAATTAAAGTTTCAATACACTGTGTCTGCAATGCATCTGCTTTGGCTACATCCTGTTGATGGTATGCAAGCATTTAAAATATGCATATAGATACTGCTCATTAAATGATGGATAGCATAGACAGCTGACACTTTCAGTTATTTATTTTTTAGGCTAGTTAAAATTTCTCTGGATAACTCCCATGTTCTTAAAATTTCTACTTAATTTAGAGAACCTTTAGGATAATTTTATGTTATCATTGGACAACAATACAGTAGTGTAAGGGAGGAATACATCACTCCCAGAGGAACTGGCTGGCTGTCAGCCTACACAAGGAAGATGCAAGGAAGCGCTAGCACTATTTTTTTTATTTTTTTATTTTTTTTTTTTTTTGTACTGTATTCGGTACCTTTGGGAAATACCATGACATTAAATGCTTCTGAACACCCTCCATGGGTATTTTTACAACTTTTAAAGCTTTGACCTTCTGCAAGAGCAAATAACCAAAAGGGAAGAAAGAAACAAACCCAATGCAACAAACAGAGCAAGAGGAAAAAAAAACACAACCAGGAAGCGTGGGCAAAGAGCCCATGAGGAAACAGGAGCCGCTGCATCACCACACCTCTGCTTAGATGACTGACCAACATCCTCATCTCCTTCAGACAAAACTTCTTCTTCAACCCAAACAAGCTGTGTTGCCATTTTTTCCCTACCCTTTCTGAGACAGAAGTACTGCAATTAATTGGCTGGATTTTTAATCTAAGAAAGTCTTTAGTAAAGGATAAGTTGCTTTTTTCAAGCAGCCCTGTTTCACTGAGCCCAGCACCTACTCCTCCAGTGTCCTCTTCAGTGCTTCCTCTCAGGCAGAGTTTTACTGGTCTCCACAGAGGACAGGACCTACTGTCGGCTCAGGATTCTGCTCTCTAGAAAGAGCCTCTCTGCCTTGCTTGTGCATCAGCTAAGACCTCCCCAGTCTAGCTGGAAGGATCAGTGAGGAGAATGATCCCACACAAGGTCAGGTCACAATACCTGTCATGTTTTGCTTTAAATAGGACAGCTCACTGTCACTTTGTCAAAGAGCTGTTTTTTCAAAGTAATTTTCCATTACAGAAAACTGAAATTTGATTTGCCTTAACCATTAAAAATACTCTGCCTTCAGCTCACATTGCCTTTTGCAACATACCACTGCCCCTCACTGTAACCCTGAAACACAACACTGAATTCACAGGAGACCCTGGCCCATCAGTATTAAACACATTCACACCCAAAAGCTCAGCTAAGCAGTCTCTACTAACACCTGCTCTGGATTCAGTACACAGTTATCTTCCTGGGCAATGACAACTCCTGCTGCCTCAGGATAGACACCTGCTCAGTACAGACTTAATACAACACCTCCTGCTTTTTCAATAGCTGATCAATGCACCTGAGCAAAAAACAGAAGACCTACTATCTGATCAGTCTTCGACCTGGACCTTTTGTGTCCACATCAAGACACACTGGATGTTCTTCCATGCCCATGTTAGGGATCAGGACTGCTCACAGGCTTTACACAGATACTTCTTGCTAGTTTAACGGAGACTACATAGAGATAAAATATTTTCAGCATATAAACCTTCACTTCCATAAATGGACAGCCTAAGATACACTATCAGTGTGTTTTGGTGAAAACTAGAGGCCGGTCCATAAAAATTAGAAATCATACCAAAATTGCCTTAAAGAATCCAAGATAATACCAGAACAGACCACAGAAAGGAGATGAAGCTCAACAGGAACTTTTCACAAGACACTAATCACTACTTGCCATCATTTGAGCTAGACCGACTGTAATGTGCTTGAAAGGAACAGAATGATTCTCTAAAACAGGATGACTGCTAGTGTCCAAAAAGCAAATATTACAATGGAATTGATGGTCCAGTCTTACAGAAAGACTTGAGAAAAAAAAATAAAAATGGAACCATGGCGTTTGGCTTTCATGGATTTATTTATAAAGCCTTTTGGAGGGCATACATGCCAAGATATACACTACATTGTGTACATACTACACCAAAACCATTGAAAATAATCTAACTGAAAAACACTTGTTCATTAAATTCTTCAAATATTCAGTGTTTGAAATGGAGGCTACAGGTAAGCATCAGACTTGCTATATTGCTTTCAGGCACTGATGCAGCTGCTCCAGAATCTCACTGTGATAAGGTAGTTATTTTTTAGAAAGGTGAAAGAATACAAACGCTGGAAACTCTGAAATCATGTGGCTAGAGGGAAATTTCTTCCCAATCTGCATGAGTTAAGAACTGGCATCTGCCTTGAGGCATGAAGGTTTATATTCTTTTAACCCAAATGTAACTCTGAGAGTTTGCATTAAATCGCTTTTTAAGCCTTACAGACCCTTGACCTTAGTGATAACTTGTCGCAGAGTTCCACAAGAAAATATTTCCAGAATATAATTGTTCCTTTCTTCAGTCTGATTAAATTAGCCACCTTCTCACTTAAATGACTGTCTCTGTACAATGGTCAGTTGAGGAAAAGGAACAAATGACAGTTTATTTAAGGTTTCAGCACAATATGTAATCAGAAAGGCCTTCATTCATCCCAAAGAAATCAAGCAAGTGATTTCATGAAAGCTAGCAGAGATGGCAATGAGACTTAGAACGTATTACGGAGCACAGGTGCTTTTTAGTACTGTCTGCACTTGATATTCATAATATGAGTTATTACTTACATTTGGTGATTAGTGAACTAATGATAAATTGGTATGATAGCAAAAGTGTTCTATTAATCTATATTCCACCCAAATGAATTTAAAAATATTTCAGGAGTGCTTCTGAGATAGTAAATAAATGACTTCAATGATAATGAGTTGACTGAGGTGTCACTATCTATCCCCACATTTTTTTCTCTAGTCTACAGAATATGGAAGCACATCAGAAGGTGCAGCCATTCTCCCGTGCATTTCTTGATCAACAGTTCAGAAGCTTGCTCTTCTGTAATAAAAGCTGCTGGCCTGGAATACAATGTGATTTACTTGTCATAGGGATCCTACTGCCTAATGAAATGGTGAAACAACCTTCCAGATTAAAGCAAAAAAAAAAAAAAAGTGAAAGAATACAAACAGTGATGCCAAGCTATTAAAAAAAAAAAAGGCAAATAATTTTAAAAAGCAAATGAGCATTGAATTTGATCTAGAGTCTCTATTTTCTTGCATTTTCATGAGTACCACAGGAAGGTAAAAAATTCCATTATGAGGATTTGTGGAGAAGGAGATTTTAAAAGGTTGAAATAAAAGAGATTTAATGCCAAATTTTAAAAGAGCTGCAAGTAGTAGTGGGAATTTGCAGAATGTTGTCTGATAAATCCAACGGTATTTAAGAAGCTGAGGTCCAAATCCAGTATGCATTTGAAAGACAGCTCACATGCTAAAAAATAAGTATCTACCACATACTTTGACATGTTGGAACCTGTCATTCCACTAGTTAAGCAGCCATAGCTGGGGAAACTGCTGATACAGTACTCTCTTGATAGTAGCATTACAGCTGCTACCAGAGGCTAGATGAGGCTATCATTTGCTGTAAAATAATAAGATTTAATAATAAAAGTGCATTTATCCAGACATCAAGCAGTGGAGTGAGATTTGAAAATGAAAGACAGACAGAAAAATACCTGATAGAGATGACATGCTAATCTACGTTGAAAACTACTCCTCCACCTCTCTCAGTAATTATGGAACAAATACTTGCTATTATAAAAAGATGTAAACAATGAAATAATTAAATGATGCAAAAAGTCCCTGACCTTTCTCTGCCTTAAAACACAGAGTTTTGGTTTTCTTTTTTCTTCTTCTTTTTTTAATTAAAAAATTCAAATAAAATCAGGTATTTTTTTGACCATCAGGGACTGCAGTCAAGGAAATTCAATAGGCAAAATACAACACGACAGAGAAGCAGAATACACATCAGTTAAATGCCTCTCCCTGATCAGTGCGGGTAGACAGAGCTGCCCGTGTCCTCTGAGCATAGCAGACTGATGACAAACTGATGAGAGGTATTACACCTCCTTATTTGTTTGATTGTTTATTTTTACTTAGGAAGCAAAAACACTTTACCAATACCAGAAGGCATGTTTTATTATGACTTCATAGGTCCTTGGAGTCCCCAGAGGACTCGATCTTGTCAAGCACCAAAAATGTTCACTAGATTGAGGCTTGAGAGTCAAACTTAGTGCCTTCTTCAAGAAGTCAAGCAACCCAGTAGCTTTGGAAGTTACTAGCAGAAACAGTTCAGATATTCTTGATGCTAGTGATCCACTAACAGGGGAAAAAAAACAGTCTCAGAAGTCTTGAATACTGGGCTACATTCTCACTTGCAATATAT